GGTTCACCTTCCAACAAGACAATGACCCTAAGCACGCAGCTAAAATAACGAAGGAGTGGCTTTACAACAACTCCGTGATGGTTCTTGAATGGCCCAGCCAGAGCCCTGACTTAAACCCAATTGAGCATCTCTGGAGAGACCTGAAAATGGCTGTCCACCAACGTTGACCATCCAACCTGACAGAACTGGAGGGGATCTGCAAGGAGGAATGGCAGAGGATCCCCAAATGCAGGTGTGAAAAACTTGTTGCATCATTCCCAAAAAGACTCATGGCTGTATTAGCTCAAAAGGGTGCTTCTACTAAATACTGAGCAAAGGGTCTGAATACTTATGACCATGTGATATTTCAGTTTTTCTTTTTTAATAAATCTGCAAAAATGTCAAACATTCTGTGTTTTTCTGTCAATATGGGGTGCTGTGTGTACATTAATGAGGGAAAAAATGAACTTAAATGATTTTAGCATATGGCTGCAATATAACAAAGAGTGAAAAATTTAAGGGGGTCTGAATACTTTCCGTACCCACTGTATGTGCGCGCGCAAAATGAAGGAATATAATCCTTTCTCCCGCGCACTTGGAAAAGCTCCTTCTGTAGCAGATTAATGGAGCGGGGCGCACGCTTCACCCATCTGCTCCTGCAGCGGAATGAGAGCCCCGGCGCGCCCCCACTCCTCCCTGCACGGTTCCTTTGTGTCTCTCTTAAACTGATCTGCTGCTGTAAAGACAACACCAAGCTTCCCGTTTCATGTTTCAAAATAAAATGTAAACTGTGCGTCATAATGGCCATTTATTTTGTAGCTTTGTGTAGCTTTAGTGACTTTCTGTGTTTTAAACCTTTTTGTTTTGTGATCCTTTAAAATTAAGCAAATGTCTAATCCCCCAATAACTGATGTGATATAACATTCTGAGATTTTTTTAATTATTATTTGAAGGAATTTTAGAGGCTAGAAGACGTCAGGAACCCCGTGTTTCACATTAAAAGAGAAAAAATAACTGTATGGAAACAAAGCATTCATTTTACCTTTTATTTCTTGAATCATCTGGTTCCGATTTTGGGACCCCGACCAATAGCTTGGAAAGCACGGTCTTAAAATCACAATTTATACAGAAACGTGTATTAGAGCTTCAGTTTATATCTCTTAATTTGCCCATGTGGGGCATTCGTTTATCCATCTTGACAAGTCACAGGTATGATAGCAGATATGACAACTAGTATGTGCCAGCACGGGACTTCCATATCAACGAAGAGCTGCACTACACTACTCCTTACTAAGAACTTATTTCCATATGAGCCACCGAGAACTTCGTGTATTTCACGAACGTTTCCGTGTATTTGGGTGACAGTCAGGGGACTTTGGTGATTTTTACGGGATTCCCCAAAAAACACACAATGATGAACTCCCAAATGACCAGTGGAAAACAGAGCTTTGAGAAATGACTTCCTAACAAGCTGTTCCCAAAAGTGAAGCGCGAACTTCCATCTCAAAAAGGAACATGCTACTTCACTTCACTTCAATTTCACTGAAACCTATAGCCGAAACGTCTGCGCTTTTTGTTCCCCTTGTGCTGTTACGCGCAGGGAAAACATTAAATAAAGACAGACTTTGAAGGTTTGGAAGCCAGCTGCTACTTTTTGCGCACTGAAGCCTAACTTAGAAAACTACCCCCAACAAACCAGGTGCTCGGTTTCACTTTCTATAAGAGGCTCTTTCTACCCTGGGGGGGTCAAAGTGCTATAAAACCTTGAGCACAACTCACTGCAACTAATTCGCCTTCTTGGAAACACTGTGCCAACCTTTGAACTATGGCACCGCTCTGTCTGTCAAAGTTACAATGCGCTCCACCACTAGAGGATAGTGTTGGCTTTTATTAAATGATCGCCCTCGATTAAAATAAGTCTTAAGATATTTCTCAAGAGCTGTTTGAAGAACAGAAATCGCCAAAGGTAAAAACAAAATAAATAAAAATCGTACCTTTGCTCAAGCAAACGTGATAAAACGTAATATATTTTCAATATTCAGGCTTTTTCATGCACAGGAGCTGAGGATGTGCTGCGGCTACAGGTCTATATATTTCAAAGAAATTACACTTTTTATTGTTATTCCGATGGTTATACATGCTTTTCGGATTGTTAATAATCAAACTGTTAGGTTGGATAGTGGGTCTCGGATATTGGATCAAATAATTACCTATAAACCCCAAAACAAATGACTGATTTAATTCAGTTTTAGCTACCAACGATGCTGAAATGATGTAGGCCTACACTGAAGTAGATATTTATAGGTTAATGTCATCACAACAAAATAAGCTTGAGACCTAATGTTCCGTTGTGTAACAGTTTTGGTGCCGAGCGAACTCCAGTTCCCTGTTTTCATCAGGCTGAATAAATGTTTTTTGTTACTACACAAAAAGGTCAATGAAGGAGTTGGCTAGCAAATATCTGTAATGTTTTTGGACATGCGCAGAGGGGAGATGCCATATTGGAACGGGGGCAGCAGCAGCTGAAAGACGTCGCTCGCGTCGCTTTGCTCGAGCTCACGCGAACGAGGAGGAAAAAAACAGAGGGGTCTCGAGAAGGAGAGGCGACAAAAAACTTGGACAGGTAAGACAGGTGACGGCCGCAGCGGTCCCCGAAGGCTCCTCCGCGGCTGCTGCGTTTGGTTATTTTCCTTATGTCGACGTAATAAACAGAGGGAGAGTTATTTTTCTCCTCCTCCGCTTTAGAAACCCTGAACTGCTCCCTAGGCGGTTTCTGTAGAAACGAGAGAATAGTCGCGATCGTTGCTTCACGAGCCCAAGTTGTGTAAAGTGTCTGTCACGCGCTGTAATTAACAGCTTTCACGACGCGATCTCGTGGCGCTCTCGGTGATACCGATTGTTGAGCTGTTTTATCCCTCAGTTCATGCGTATTCTGTCGGTCTGTTAACTGTTCTGCAATAACACGAATTTTAATCATCTGCATGAAAACGCACAGTCCCAACTGAATTGTTAATTTAATGTGTTTTATTGCACGTTAAAAACACCACCACGCAATTTTGTTTTCTGTGAACACCAAGTTGTTTTTGCAGATTGACGTTAAAAATGACTTATTGCCATGAATCTGATAGAAGATGAGTCATGTGGAATTTTTTTCGTCACCCTTATATGCGTAAAAGCCGTCGGAAAATACCGGACACTGCCAAAATGTCAAACCACTTTCAACATGGCGGGTTATGGTGTTCGTGGGGGAAAACTGCGCCTTAAAATCTTTGAACGAGGAAAAAATAAAACGACGGGACATAACGCGTCCGGTTCTGTTTCTTTTGATGGACATACAGGAGGTTTAATCAATTAAATTCAAAGTGTGCATTTGGAAACTCCGTGGGAGTTTTTTTCCGCTGCAGTTTTGAGTGTGCAAAGTACATGACCGGAGTGCCAGCAAGCTGCTGGTCGGCTACACCCCTCAGCCTCATCTTCCTTATGTGCACTTAACGTTTCCTCTTTCACTTTGATCAAAAATGCTGTAGCTCGTTCGGTGTTTGTTCCTATAGATCACATTATATTGGATTAAGAGTTTTTCTAAATAAAGCCGACAGGAGGACTATTTCATTCCACCTTTTGCTTGCCATGGTGATGATTGCACAGCCTGGCGAGATCTTTTTTCCAAGCGTATCGTTCCTCTTTGCGCACATTTGTAATGATTAAACAGATAATTGGGTTAAACCGCTCGTATCTCTTTAATTATTTCTCTTTTGCGGGTGGTCTGCAAATCCGAGGTTTAAGGCTTCGCATAATTTCCGAGGCTTCCTCCTCCAGATTAAATTCGTCACCACAATGAACAGAAACAATAAAGACTGCATGCAATGGAGCGGCCGATAGATGCTCTTGTTCAGTATGAATAAATTATGCTTTTAGACTTCTTGTTGCTCCCAAGATATCTTTTTTTTTTTCAGTCTTGTAGATAAATGGAAAGAGCATAAAACGAGCACATTTTCATGGAAAACGAAAACGTGACCTTAAAAATAAAATACATATGATCCGCTCTGTACACTGGCTAAGATCGATATGACTCCTGCTGCACGTTATTGACGGCGGGATTGTTGGCTTTTTGCAGGAACCACCCAGTGGCTTAGCTGCCTTTGATAAGGCATTGTATGTTAATTGTCTGTGAAAAGACACAGTAAGCAAGTCTGCATTAAACAGAGAAGGAAAGATAGAAAAACAGAAAGAAGCTGTCACTTAAAAGGAAATATTGATCCCTTTCTTCCTTGCTGCCTTTCTCTCTGCTGTTGGCACACAAACTCTCTGCCTGTATTTGAATAAGGGGAGGACATAAGCAAATATCAGATTTGACCTCTTTTGTATTTAGCATTGTGCACATGTGTGCTTTTTTGGAAGTTGTTTCCAGTAATTGATGTTGAAATAAGAAGGCTCTGGGCTAAGGGAGTTTCCCTCTTGACTGCTGCACTGTTTTCCTCTCCTGTGTTTTTCTGTGGCCAACCGGGGGCAGCTGCTGTTGGCACTTTATCATTTTCTAGCAGGCTGATCTCAGTGAGCATCACAGGCTGCAGCAGGTATCCATAGATGTTAAAAACAGTAGGAACCTAGAGGACGAAGTGGGGCAAAGTGTTGTAGCAGGGTTTCCTGTTGCCAAGAGAAAACAAGTCTTGGATGGGTCTAAAAGAGGAGACCTAATAGGCAGTAATGCAATAAAACCCAAGCCCATGCAGTGGTAGGTAATCTCCTAAATCCCCCATTAAATCTTTGGCATGGAAATACAGGAGGACAACACGTGGATGCCCAGCACCCCATCAGGGGCTAATCGATGAAACAACCCTCCTCTTAATCTGGGACAACAGGGGCACAAACGTCCTGCATCTGAGATTAACTCTGTCGTACCAGTTTAATCCCCCAGTGCCCAGTCTGTGCCGTTTCCTCGGGACTGCTGCGAGCCAGAAAGCTTCATCAAGTAGAAACCACGCAGTGGAAAAACTGCTCAGGAATAAAGACAGTGACAGGCACATTCTGAATAAAAGCCTGAGGACGGTTGTAAGCTTTTACGATATGTTTAACCAGTGAGGAACCAAAAGAAAAGCCCAGCATGATATCACAGTGTAGAACAGATGATTCAAGTTGACTTTTTAATGCCAGTTTCTCGCAATAAGCATCACTCCTTATTTTGTTGGGAGGAGATGTTTTCCACATGACCTGATCAAACCTGCTGGATCCATCTCACACACTCATCCTAAACTGTTCACACCCACAGAATTATATTTTTAAAACTCCATAGTCATAGTCACATAAATGTGGTTTGGCTTTGTCTTTGTGAACATTCTTTGGGGCCGCAGGGAACTGTGTTGACGTGAATATTAAAAAAAAAAAAAAAAAAAGAGTAAAATATGTGACCTTTAAATTTCCAGAGAACATCCAAGACTTCACAAAGATGATAAATATGTCAGGGTGAATTTCGGGGGCTTTGTCTTTTGTAACATTCTTTGGGGCCGCAGGGAACTGGGTTGACGTGAATATTAAAAAAAAAAAAAAAAAAAGAGTAAAATATGTGACCTTTAAATTTCCAGAGAACATCCAAGACTTCACAAAGATGATAAATATGTCAGGGTGAATTTCGGGGAAATGAGCACTGTGGTACAAAAGTATGTGAACAGTGACACATTTCCTGTTTTTTTGGCTCTTAACTTCAGCACTTTGGATTTAAAATGAAGCAACTTCAGAGGGTGTTCACATATGTACTGTGGGGACCACTGTGGGAAACATATTGCCTCCAAATGGAAGAGGTTAAAATGTGCTGCAGTATAGAGCCAAAACAATACAAATAGTCATGGATGTCCATAAGGATGGCACTGAATATGTCATGTCCATTATTCATTCATTTGTTGATTATATTTATTTATAAATCTATTAATCACTTAGTGTATAAATGTGAATATAAAGGTTCCCAGAGCCTAAGGAAACATCTGAAAACAGCTTGTTTTATGTGACAAACAGTCCAGAATCCTATCAGTTTAAAACAATATCAAAGAAACAAATTAAAAAAAAAAGAAAAGCAGAAATTGTCACATTTATAAGCTGGACCCAGCAAACATTTGGCATTTTTGCTTGATAAATGAGCTGTTGTCTTTCACATTTTTGTTGATTTGCTAATTAATTTATTTACAAATTGTTTCAACATTGATTTAAAAAAATGGCGTCTTTGGTTTGAATATTTAATGACGTGTCAGAACAAGCAGATCTGTCTATGTGATGCTGTTATACAGTGTGAGGTCTGCTGTTTGATGAAGTGCCTGTGTGTACTTTGAGTTGCACCGAGCGCTGCAGGGGGCTGCACGTTGACGACAGCGATGTGTCAATGCCGCTGAAGATTGTAGGCCATTTAGGCAAGAATCACTGATAGGCTGCAAGGGGTGGACAAGGGGGGAGAACGGCAGCGGACGGCGTCATGTGAGACAAATTAGCTCAGCTTCTTGTTTACACAATGGATGTGTGCTGCAGCCACATTGGGCTGTCAGGGATGTGTGCAGTTGGTGGGTGGGGGGTGTTTGTCACACACAATCATTGTAGCCTCACAATTTTGTAAACAGGCTCAGTCCAAACAGCAGCGGAGCAGCTACTGTTTCATTTCCTCAGGATTTCAAGGGTTTCTTGGACACAGGACTTCAGTCTGTTTTCATCAAAGGATTGTTGAATTTGCTCCTTTTACCCTTTTCCCCATCTCAGGATGGGTGGCTCACCTAATCACAGAATAAGGATATTTTCCACTTTATTGGGTATTGACTTTGGAGTCGAGAGTGAGGACCTGGTCCCGGAGTCGTTTTTGGCTTGATTGAGGATTTCTGTGTGACAGCAGTCTGCCTCAGTGTTAATTGCCAGGTTGATGGAAGTGGGTGGAAGTCAGTGAGTGAGTCACCGGGGATGTGAGTGCATGACCAAAGACAGGCGCCAGCCAAGTGACAAGCAAGGTCTGTTGTTGTGAAGATGATGCTTTTCACATATTGTTGTACTGATTGTTTGCTTCAGTTTGTCAGTGTTAAATAGTGTTTCATTCTGTTTAGGTGCTTTGTGATGCACTGACTGTTACCATTAAAATAGTTCTTTTTTTGATCTGTAGGATTAGGAAATAAGCTCATGACAGATTGTTTCCACATGTTCATTACATCAGGCTTATTTTAACTTTAGTGATGCAGCACAATGAGTGAATACACAGATATAGAGAAATGCTTTGTCATTTGGTGGCCTAATAGTTTATACCCACAACAGATTCTGTAATTGTAACTAGAGGGGATATGATTAGTTGGTCAACAGAAAGTTAATTGACAACTTTTTGATCATTAAAGCTACATCTCATTTATTGTAATTTCATAATGACAAATATGTGAAGAGCTGGGCAGAGCTTAGTGTAGCAGGGAGAGGGAGCGCTGGGCGAAGGAGAGCGGGTTGATCTGGAGTTTCATGCTAGTGCTACCTTAGTTATATCCTGTAGCTTTAAATAAATAGTTTGACATTTGTCAGCAAACATCATCTGGATGCAGTTTACCCACTGAGGATTGTTGGTTTTCCCTTTTTTATATTGTTGTAAACTGGATTCAGTTTTGTGCAAAATCCATCAGTTCAAACAGTTCATCACTGAACTGAGCAGTCATGGAAGAAGTACTCAGACTTTACTTAAGTAAAAGTAGCAATAACATAGTGTAAAAATACTTTGTTACAAGTAAAGGTCTTGCATTCAGATTGTCACTTAAGTACAAAAGTATTATCATAAAATATACTTAAAGTACTAAAAGCAAAAGTACTCATTATGCAGAATAGCACAGTTCACATTAACATCCATCCATTATCGATACTGCTTATCCTAACGAGGGTCGCGGCAGGCTGGAGGCAATCCCATCCAACACTGGGCAAGAGGCAGGGTCCACCCTGGACAGGTCGCCCGTCTGTCACAGGGCTGACATGTAGACAAACAACCACACACCCACATTCACTCCTATGGGCAATTTGTAGTCAAGCCAGTCAACCTAAACTGCACATCTTTGGACTGTGGGAGGAAGCCGGAGTACCCAGAGAGAACCCACACAGGCACAGGGAGAACATGCAGACTCCACACAGAAAGGCACCGGTTCAGTCGGGGCTCGAACCCGGAATCTTCGTGCTGTGAGGCGACAGTTCTAACCACTGTTCACATTAATCTATATATCATATTATAGGAGTATTACTATTGGTGTAATATTGCGTACATCACAATTCAATAATTTATTTACTTTCATCACACACTTTCAGTATAAATAGAAACGAGATACCGTTCTTCATCATAATGCTCATTACACATCATTCACACTCTATAACAGTCTATAACAATTAATGTTACAGCTGGCAAAAGTAGAGCTAATGTTAACTACCTTATGTGCTTATACTCTGAAGTACTTGACATGCTGCTGGGTAGCTTGTCAATTTCCCACCAGGGATCAATAAGGTCTTATGATTGTACTGTATTTTGTTTAATTAATCTCAGTCTGAAAAAGTAACTAGTAACTAAAGTTATCAAATAACTGTAGTGTGTACAAAGTTTAATATTTCTCTCTGAAATCTAGTGAAGTAGCAAAAAATGAAAATACAGATACCTCAGAATTGTACTTAAGTCCAGTCATTGATTAAGTGTTTTGTTACTTTCCACCTCTGGAACTGAGAACACTGGTCTGCAGATTAAATGACAATGAAAATAACCAGCCCAGCTTTTGCCGGTGCTAACATCAGACTGCATTTTTAAAAATGAGAAACACAGAAGCTTCAGGGCAAATGAGCAGTGGAGCTGTATCACAGCACAGGCCACCGATTTAATGAGTGAGGCGATTTGTTTAAAATGTCATTTAATAACAAGATGCATCAGGATCCGTTGGACTCAGCAGGGGACTGATCAATTGATCACATCACTGTTATTAAACAGAGCAGGATGCTGTAATGTCGGGAAAAACCAAAGACAGAGATGAACATCCCCATCATGGCCGTTGTTGTACTTTAAAAGAAAGCGAGGGACTAAAACGTCCAGTTTGCTTCTCGTGTCAAAAAAGAGGAATTGTCTTTCAAGTGGAGAGTTTGTGTTAATAGACTGTGACCCATATGTTATTTCACAACCCATTCTGACCAAGAAATATTAAATTAATCCATTAATCAGCCTAACTAATGACCTCATTAGTAACACTGATTGTGTTCAATATATCACGGTGATCAGAGCCCAGCATTTGCTCCAGCCTCCATGTATACTGCATGTCACACATACATATTTACTGTCTCAGTTCCTCTTTTACCTTCCATAAAGTGAAATTACTCAGCACTTCTGGATGATTCTCATTCCACGGCTGCTTGAATGATTATATTCGAGTCGGAAAAATTACCAGCCTGTTTTCCACCTTGTGTCGGTCCTGTTTTTCTACTTTGTTTGGCTCTGATTGGTTATCTGATGGAGTTTTGCAGTGCATGCAGCTGGCTGACGATATGTAGAAACTCAGGCTGAAGAGGCAGAGGCTCATCTGTAATTTAACACAATAACAGGCTTTTCAATGGGCTTTAATGGTGTTGAAAATTAGTTTGAGTGTTGAAAAGTTCGTTGTCCTTTTGTTTCTTTACCTACAGTTTCCTTCTGCTTTGGCTGCAGGGTTTTTTTCTCTGACCCAGAGATCTGCTCTTTTCCTTGGAACTTGTTTTAAGTTCTTTTATTTTGGACTGTTCAGCCACAGTGGCCGTCGCTGTTCATGCCAACCAGTCACTTCCTCTTAATGCTTTATTCTAAAGAAAGTGCAGATGCAAAGTACATCATATCCTGTCTGCCAGATGGTTTCCAAGGAAATTCTTATCAAATAGTGGGTGTTTATTTTAACAAACCCTCAGAGATATGACTGGGAAAGCTTTTATGAGATGCTACTGTAAAAGGAGAACAGTAAAATTGACTGTTTCCCTGGGAATATCGAGGACTGTATCTCAGTTTGGACATTATTTGATGCATTAATGTCTTTTTATTTCTGCTCCAGGGGCATTGAGGAAAGTGAGAGATGCAGTGAAGCTGAACTGAAACACCTCAGGTCAAAAAGTAAGACTCACCAGGAAGTGGAGGATGCAGTCTCACACTCAGGAGCAGCCGCTGGCTCTCACCACGGTCAAGCCATACAAGTCGACCAATGGGAAGGAGGAAGAGTTGAACACAGGTGAGGCCCTGTAGTGTTACCTTCACCTTTCCCTTCTCTGTGGCCAGGTCAGATCCGTGAAGCCACCCTCATCAGACTAACAGATCATTATGGAAGACACGGACAGAAAATGCATATGAGTGTCTGTTACTGGTAATATAGGAACTTTTAAATTGGGTCATTTAATTACGTTCTTTATGTTTATTATTTGCCTGTAATTCACAGAAAGCCCTGCGTTTGTTTCTTCACTGTACTGGTCTGACTGTTTCGTCTCTTGTATAGTTTAAGGGTTTTTTCTGAGGCTGTGTTTGCTTGGGTTTTATTCCCTTTATTTACAGGCGTATTCATTAGGTGAGTGTGTCCTATATTGTTATTTTAAGTATAAGTTACAAGCCATTAATTGGTATGTCAGTGATACTACACGTACCTGTTAATGGAGCCTTTGTAATGGAAAATGTGTCACACGGTTTGAAATAAATGTTTTCCCTGTCACATGTTTTAAAGACAGAAAATATCTGTATATGAATGACTGAAGAGACTGGAGGCCAGCAAACACACTGGCAGTGTATGATGCATGTTAACACCTGTCAGCCTGCACACTGCTGGCATTTCTACAGGTGCCACTGCACATTAACGCACTAGGAAATGTTACTGACCCATATCCCAGCATCAGCTGGCATCAAGTCTCCAGAAAAGCAAGAGCTTCTCTGGATGGACACCTTCCAGCTGAGCCTTCACTGCTCCCTTCGTCTGATTGATGCATTTGCTGTGTTACAGGTACTGACTGATTGATGCTCATAAAATGACGCAATGCTGCGTGACGTTGCCGGTGCAATCCAGTGTCCCATTGATAATGAAACCACAGTGATGGTTATTCTGAGTACTTGTTCTGTCAGGAAATGCATTCAGTGTAAAAGAAAAAAGCACGATATGTGTTTTGTCACTCGGATTGTTTCTGTTTTCTTACTCCTTATTCCCATATGGGGTCATTTACAAAACAAAAGGAAGCCAGTCAGTAGCAGAGCCCCAGCTCCATAGTACACATTCATTCTTAGCAGGCTGTAGTGTTCACTTTGGAAAGTGGCAAAATAAAGTATACCTGAGAAAGTCAACAAGAAAAATGCTGGACTTATGAGATGTGCTGCTGCTGGACTTCTTTTTTTTATGATTTGCATTATTTGTTTTGGACAAGGACACAGAGGAGCTGCTGACAGTTTTGTGTGGGAGTGGCACTCCAATGCAATGGTTCAACCTACTGAACCATGTTATGTAAAATGGTACCTATGTTGATTTTTGCAAATGAACTGCAATAAAAGGTATACTATGACAATTTGTTTAAGATGCACAGTATATAATATGGAATTTGGGCAGACACTGAGGAGCTCCAAGTTTAGCCTCAACATATTTGTTTGTGTTGATGATCTACTTTCTCTCTTCACTGTAATTATTGGATTACTCCTCATACTAGAGTCTGTTATCAAAATGTCTTAATACCACTTAAACAGCTTTATACTTTAATCTTTGACAGAAACAACTATTTCTGTCGGCTATACAGTAGACCAGTGGGGGAAGAAGTACTCAGATCCAATACAACAGTTACAAATGAAAATCCTGCATTCAAAATGTTACTTAGTACAAACGTATTAGCATCAAAACGTACTTAAAGTACTAAAAGTACAAGTACTCATTATGCAGAATGGCACATTTCTATCATATTATTGTACTATACTTACTGATGTATTATTGTGTACATGACATTTAAAGTTGCAACTGGTAAGTGGAGCTAGTTTTAACTAGCTTGTGTTCTTATAATGTGAATTACTGCTGAGCTTGACATTTCCACCTGAGATTAATAAGTATTAAGATTATACTGTAATTTTTGTATTAATTTGGTTTTGAAAAGTAACTAAAGTAAAAATGAAATAATCATAATGGAGTAAAAAGTACAATAACTGCTCTAAAATCTAGTGAAGTGAAGCTTGTCAATTTCCCACCAGGGAAGTTTTATGATTATTCTGTATTTAGTTTAATTAATCTCCGCCTGAAAAGTAACTAAAGTTATAGTTACAAATAACTGTAATGAGTACAGTATTGTCCTGTAAACTGTAGTGAAGTTGAAGTGTGACGTAGCACAAAATTAAAATGCTCAAGTACTTGTACCCCAAACTTATACTTAAGTGCAGTAATTGAGTAAAAGTATTTAGTTACTTTCCACCACTGCAGTAGACAGGGTGTAATTTTTGGCACAAAATGTGTTAGTAGGGTGCTAAAGGTTAACCTCTGTGTTAGCGTGTGTGTGTGTTGGGGGTATGGTTGTCTTTGTGAAACCAGTTTGAGTTTGGCTGGTCCTCGCTTTCTGACACTCCCTCAAAGGGCCGTTTAAAGGTTATGACTTGGTTTGAGAGTTGGCCATTTAGTTGTGATGCCAGCGAATGTCCCCACAAAGATAGAAGTACAAATAAGGAGCCAGCTCGTGGTAGGATCTCTTCGAAACTCCATCCAAACATCAGCGTCCTACTGTTCCCTCTCATTAGAATGAGCAGGTTCAGTCCTGTACTCATCACACTGAGGATTCTCCAGAGGTGCACCACACACACACACACACACACACACACACACACACACACACACACACACACACTCTCTCTCTCTCTCTCTCTCTCTCATCCCACCAAAACGGCGAAACATAATACCTATAATGTTCAGTCTCCCACAGGCAAAGTGAACAGTTCTCACCTTCAGGAGAAATATTAGTGGTGTTACATAAGATGACTTACAACACGCTGTGCACACACATGCACACTCCAGATAATGTGAGTTTTATGCTGTGGCACAATCAGCTACATTTACAAAACATCAAGACTTTATTTAACTGCTTGCCATACGCTCTCCTAGCTCAGGAATGAAACGTGTTGTTCGCCTGCAGCCAAGGAGGCTCCTTTCATCAGACATGATTGACGGGAGCTTTTGTTTTACTCAGATGCAGATTCCATGGAAGGGGAGGAGGAGGCAGAGTTCAACTGGGAGGAGTACATGGAGGAGACGGGGGCTATTGCTGCCCCTCACACCACCTTCAAACATGTGAGTGACTGATCTTCACCTCACTCTTACAGTACAGCAAATCCCATCCCTAAGGTGATCCTTTAAATACAGCCTCATACATAAGCACCATATGTAGAAATCCCTTAACAACATATTGGAGACAGCCAGGCCCTGTCATCATAGTGTTAATGCTGCTCCATGGAGTGCCCTCATTGGCTTTGTTCCTCTATGACGCACAAGTCGTTAGACAACCTCTGCCGGTTTGTGAAAACACAATTGCGGGTAATTACTGAAGCACAAAAGAAAACAATACAATGACGACAAATAAGCTCCGGGCTCATATTTTTGCTTATGAGAAAGGTCGGTTACAATTATTTAGTGATAGAAGTGGCACAGTTGTGGCAAAATACAGGTATATGTTTTAATTTCAGCTTCCCTCTCAAGTTGCTGTGGAAAATATGATTGAATTCATTTTTATTATGCATCACCACAGGGACAGAGGAAGAAAAATGTTTCCTATTGTGAACAGACCTCTTGAAAAGACCAAATAAATAAGTAGAGGACTATTTTCAGTGGCGGATGAATCCACATTTGGTGCTGTAGTGAGTATTTTTCGCAGCAGCACAGCAAGTGTTGGAATGGACTCAAAACAAACTACAATGTTTGTTCATGCTAATGAAGGAATGTCACCCAGTGTAATGTTTGGCTCGCTCAGGTGTCTTTAACACATTGTGCACAACAGTGGAGCTCGGAAGCATGAAGGAATAAGACCTCTCAGGCTACAGATTTTCATCAAGTTGTTGTTGATTTTAGGCTTTTCATGGGATTGGTTAATAGAAAATCATCGAACCATACTAGCGGTTGTAACTAGCCCCAGCTTGTGAACCATGTGTACTCAAAGTAACAGAGATAATCTCTCGTGAACATGCAAAACTGAGATTTGCCGAACATTTTAATCCCACATTGTCGTGTCGTAACATTCACCCAAATTCTGAAGGTGTTTCTCGAATTCTCCTAGACTCTTCTAATGATGTGGAATCAAAAATAATCCCGTCCAGTCCAGGAAAATTAGCATTACAATCAGTTTCAGTTGAGCAAAGATGGAGAATGTTGAGCATCAATGTACTATTGAAACCATTTATATTCAGAATCTTTATTATTTATGTTAAAAGACAAGAATTTCACTCCAGGTCAGCGTGAAATAAAACAGGACAGAAAGAGAATAATAAGTCAAATCAGGGCCAAAAACAACAATCTAATGATAAATCTATGTACATACAGTATATACAATCTTTTTAGGTGTGTACAATGATTATATTCTTATTGCTACTGTCCTACTGAAAATTAAGTAAAATTATTGTTGAGAATTGTTTAAATAATGACAGTGAGCTGCTTTCACACACAGCCGGAGTGATGACATCATTTCCGGCCACCATGTTTTTTTAGAAAAGAGAAGAGGGATAAGAATTAGACATAGCTGAGAAACTCATTAAAATGATAATTCTCCTGGACAGTGCCAAATTATTTTTGATTGAGCATCATTAGAAGAGTCTATGAGGATTTGGGTGAGTGTTACAACATGACACTATGGGATTCAGGTTGAATCACGATTGATCAATTAAAATATGAGTCATTAGCTTTTAAGTATAGCTTGGTCATAATTACTACTTTGTTGAATGAGAGCCTGATAAAATGTTATTATTCAGCTGGAAATCGGCAGATGTCAAAACCAAAAATGCAAAAAAGCATCTGCAGTTTTTATGCAGAGTCGAGCATTGTCTGTATTTAAAAGGGGATCTTACCGGATGTGTCCACCATGTCTGTTCTGCAGGACACCTCCTCTTTGCCTAAGACATCAGAGTCAGTAAACAACTCACAAGTCTTTAGAAAAATAAAGAATCAGATTTGACAGACATGAGGCACAAGCTAAAACTTGCCTGAAATGTATTGACAAGCTCTGATGTGGGAAACTCATGGAGAGTAAGGAGGTGACACGAACTCTGCTCCAAAGAAAGCTTTGACATGTTTGAGAAATTTTTGTTACTTTATCGTTATCATTGTTTACTATTAATATTTGTTTTTATTACTTACTTTTTATATTTCACTCAATTTAAACAGCATATAGTTTAAATGACGTGTTGGGACATGCTGTAAACAGACTGTGTGGAGTAAAATTATTATTAATTTGAAAAAGTTTTTAGGGGTTAAAAATGATGTAACATGCTGATACATCTGTGAATTTAGATTTTTGTCTAAAGAATGAAAAGCTTTTTTGTAGGAAAACATGTTTAGACTGAAAAAATAAAGTATCGTTTGCTGCCTGTGCTCAGGTTTGGTAAAAACATTTGTTTCCCTAAAACAAGTGAAGTGAATTTTGCTTGGTCAGATTTGTGGCTTTGGGTCCCAACACATCATTTAAACTATATGCTGTTTAAATTGAGTGAAATATAAAAAGTAAGTAATAAAAACAATTTTAAGAAATTCTTTGTGTATTTTACATTTTTACCATTAGTTTATCAGACGCCTGTAACCCCTATGAAAGCTGCAGCTTCGTTGATCAGCTGATTGGATTAATCTTACTGCTTTAGGTATTTTTGAGTAGTTGCTCAGAGATCCTTATGGCTGAAACACAGGTTTCTCTCCCCCATTGTGGGATTAATTGTGTGAGTAATATTCGATTGTTCTTGATTTCCTGGTTGTTTAGTCTCTACTGCTGTTCCTGATTCTCTCCAGTGCTGCTCTGCCCTGTTTTTAGGTGCCTTTGATTTGCTTATTTGTGCTGTAAAATGTATAGTTCTGACGACGCTACTTGTATCGTTCTAATGCTTTGTCGCCTTTATGTAACTGTTTATTTTAAGACTAAGTGTTCTTTGTTACTACGTACTTACATACACATGCGCCGCGCGGAGTGGCAGCAAGTTACAGCAGCTGTGCCCCCGTTGTGTTCTTTTCTGTGTTTTTATGAAGTTCTGTTCTTATGTGTCTGTTCTTATGGTGTTATGATGGTTGTTCTCTATTGCTGCTGTAACATAGAAATTTCCCCATTGTGGGATCAATAAAGTACCTACTCTACTCTACTCTACTTCCTTTTTTATCCACATAACAGTATGAAGTGTTAGTGAAATGCTACATACATACAACACAACCAGTTTGTCTGCAAGCAGCTTCAATAAAAAACTCATAATTACTCTTGTCTCAGGCAGAACTGTAGTTTATGTAGCAAATTGTGTAAAAAAAAATGTTAACATCTGTAGGTAACCAATTATTGAGCCTGTTTTATTAACTTGCATCGACATGATGTTCTTGTGCTACTGGGTTTTTCCTGGCCACTTTATCATTTTTTGTTTTTTGAGCTTCCACGTGACGTCATTTTACTCGCAGTCCCCAAAAACCTCAATCTGTTAGCAGACATTTTCAAGGCTTTGCCCCCATTAACATCACAAGAGCAGGCAGGTGGGTGAATACAGTTGATCCTGGATGTGACCCCGGGCAGCTATCTGACCATCTGAGGCTCACAACACTCTGCTAAAGAAGTGTGTCAACTCAGAACGTTGAATGTAATAAGGGCAAGATTAGGCTATGTGGGTATTATGAGCGAGCCCCGATGTCGGACAAAGTGTGTGGTGATTTGAAAAGCTGAGGTCTCCTGGGAAGCTAAATTGCCTTGTTGGTAAGTGGATTGAGTCACTGGGAAACAGACCATGAATTCCTCAGTAAAATGTGATTCAGTAAAGTACAGCCCACATCTCCCTCTCTCTCTCTCTGGCTGGACAAATTGAAACAGTGATTCCTCTCGGGCCTGCACACACACACAGTTTTGCTGCTGAGGCTGCCCATAGCTCTCTCACATGAGCCAAACAGAGTGATGCAGCACGTTTGCATTGTTGTAGCAGGAAGTCACGGGGCCAGTTGTATTGTGTTTATTTCTAAGATGTTGGCTTTTTCCATTCAGTCAAGAGTGTGTGCACTTGTGTGAGCACTGAACGTGAACATCCTGTTGGGCTTGTAGTGTTCTCAAGAATTGTATGGCAGCCTGTGGCTGTGGTGGAGGCGCATTATATCATGCTTTATTCACAGATTTATCAGTGTGAATGCACAAGGACAAACTGATAGGCTGTTGCTTAGCACAGAAAATTAGTTTCAGGCTGATTTTAGAAAAGCCACCAGCTTTTATTAATGTTGCTTGGTGATTATTTATAACTCACCTGTGATTTATGTATATCACTGCAAAGCGCCTCTTATGTTTGTCCAAATTAATCACCCGCCTGGTTCAGCTGATACTGTATGATACCGAAACATTTTATCAGACTAGAAGCCTGTTTATTGCAATCACGGCTGCAACTAACAGTTTTTTTTTTAATCCATCCCAATTAATTGATTCTTAGCGTCAGAAAAGTACCTGTCAGTTTCCCGGAGCCTGAGGGGATGTCTCTCAAATGCTTGTTGTATCCAGTTAACAGCTTAAAAAAGATCCAGTTTAAATATAAAACAGTAAAAAGCAGCGATGACAAGATGCGAAAGGGTGGATCCAGCATTGAATGAGTTAAGAATGGTCACTTGCAGATTCACAGATCATTTCAATACTAATTGTGATATTACAGTGTGAAGTTACATTTGCTCTAAGGGACCATTGTTCTGAGATTGTTTGGCTGTTGTAGTTTAGTGTTAAGCAGCAGCCTCTATTATTAGTAAAGCTCCAGAGACACTAGATCCTACGTAGCAGCATGTCTTTGTTTCCCCCATCTCCATGCCCTCAGTTTGTAACACAGGTTTTCTGCTATTAATATGAAGCCTCATGCTCAAGCCACGATGACCCTGATGAAATCATCAAGGGTTATTTTCTCTGGCTTTACAAAACTCACCCAGAGCCACAGATAACATGAAGCAACACAGGCTTAATTTGTCTCTAAACAAAAAAGTGTTATCATACAGAGACCCGGGTCCTTAAAAAAAAGATATTCCTTTACTGATCTGTTGCATGTGTCCCTCCTAGGTGGAGGTCAGTCTGCAGAGCAGCTTCCAGCCTGGTATGAAGCTGGAGGTGGCCAATAAGAGCAGCCCGGACACGTACTGGGTGGCCACCATTATCACCACATGTGGCCAGCTGCTGCTGCTGCGCTTTAGTGGCTACGGTGAGGACCGCAAGGCCGACTTCTGGTGTGATGTCATGACAGCCGAACTGCACCCTGTGGGCTGGTGTGCCCAGAACAACAAGACCCTCATGCCCCCTGAAGGTAGGAAGAAACATACGTCCACCTAAACCCGTGGGCAGATGATTAAACCTCTGTAGATTCTCCACTAAAACCAAAGACAGAAGTGAGCATATGCAATGTTGTCATTGGATTTGTAAAGCCACATGTATGAGCTTGCACACTAGTAGTTTTAAATAGATGTAGACACGCCCCTAATCAATGACTTGCATATAAACGCTTTCTGAATTACAGATTGTTAGACATGGCAGTAAAAGCAGCGCTAAAGAAGAAGCTTAATTAAATCAAATTACTAGTCAGGAGCCGTGGCGGTGACACTGAAGTCATGGGACCGTGGTGTAGTTTGTTTATAGCCTAACAAGAACTTTTTACTTCTGGCGAGCGTATTTGGGCTTCACAAATCATAAAGTGGTGTTCACCTGTGAGGATTATTTTGCTGAACAAAATGTGTTGCAGACATTTGTTTTTCTGCAATAATCTAAGAGCCTGTGAAAAAACCCATTGGATTTTTGTCGAGGGAATCGGGGTGATGCTGATGTCCGGGTTGGCCCTCTGTATGTAGATGGCAAAAAAACAACACAGGCTATTTAAAACTGGCTGTTCTGTTTTTGTTAACTTCTGTGTCTCACCCACCTAAACCGTGCGTATGCATGGGCTGAAGTATGTGCAAGGTGCACACATTGTTCACATTGTTATGAGTGGGGAAAGGCATGTGCATGGTTTTTGTGCATATGTATCATTTAAACATCAGACCCCTGGTTTCGTGCACACACTTGCCAAGGTCAGATCAGTATCAGCGCAATCGGATGTCAGGCAGTCACCACAAATCTCTGCTGTGAACAAACACACGTTTTTACTGTTGGGATAATGACAAAGCAGCTACTGTTGCTCTTAATGTAGATACAAGAAATCACAGCTCATCGATTATTAGTCTTTTTTAAATTCATGCTCTGTCCATTACAACAGAATCACAAAATAACAGTCATGTTAGTAAGTGTTGTTTTTGTTTTGTGATATTAACTGATTTTGCTGCAGTGTCCACTGAGGATACAGAGCTTTACTATACTGTAGCACCACTACACGGCAAATCAGGCAGGTGTTTGTTACTGGTCACAGGCACTTAAGAGAAGCACATTACTGGAAGTTGGTATGTGGAGAACGCCTTTCCACTTTATTATAGTATGTGTCAGCATTCATTTTCACCTCTTACATGAAAAACTGGTAAAAGTTGAAGAAAAAATTAATGCTAAATAATCAAAGTGTAATCTAGAGAGCGAAATACTGCTGTGTGTATGTTTGTTTATTTTACTTACTTTATTAGTCTAAGATTGTCACATAATTTGCCACTCTCAGTTTTTCCTCTTCAGTTTCTGTAAGGAAATGAGTTTCTGAGCAGTGCTTGTTGCAGCAGGAACTTGTTTACTGTAAACACAAGTGAATATTGTCATTTAGATGGGAGTGGACTTAAAATCTCTACAAAAGTCATTCTGTTCGGTATTTTTAAGGTGAATTTATGCCTTTAATTAGACATTTTATGTGTTTATTTTCGCCATATGACGTTACTTGGCACAAAATATTACATCTAAAAATCTATTTAAACTTTTTTTAAGAAAAAAATGTTTAGAAAAAGCGATTTTATAAAAAATGAAATGGCTGCAGTGATCACACACAACTGCAAATGAACATGTGCCTAATAACATGCAATGAAAAGATAAGGCACAAAAATAATAGGTATTTACAGATAAAATGGTTTATTTTCTTTATTTATTTCTCATTTTAGTTTGAGTGTGACCTTCACGCGTGTACACAACACCTCCCATCTCTACCTTTGAAAGTATCTTTTAAATAAACTAAGTGGAAAGACAGGTTTTCCTTGAACTCAACTGCCATTTTTCTAACTACCATCACGCCCTCGCCATCACATTCCCTCAGTCATGCAGCCTCAGCTTGGTTCACAGCAAGAAAGGTCACTGCTTCGAAAACAGCCATCTTTTACTTCTCACCTCAACCTTCCCAAAGCAAAGCGTCATCTCTAACTGCTCCAGCCGCCGTTCCTCCTACTGTCCCTCTCACCAGATTACAACTTTGCCAAAGCTCTTACAGCAGACGTTTCCACCTGCAGCAGCTCCTCTCACCCCCTCCCCAGCCTTGTTCAGACCATTCATTTTCCTGACACTTCCTTGCTCATGGATGGTGTGCGCCATTGTTGTTGTGGAGACGACCTGGATATGTTTGCACCTGACTCGGGTGGCCTTACCCTCACGCGAGCTCCATATGTCCTTTTCTTTCTGCAAGGCTTATTCTTCGTCCTTTTATAGCAGCAGGCGGCCAATAAATGTCTGTATTCACAGTCTGCTTTGTTCACATCTCACAGAGGATTGGCTATCAAACAAAGAAACAATACATTCAGTTTCCTTTCAGTACTGCAGTGGGGTGGCTTTCTGTGTACTTCAAGACACCAAACATGACTAGAGTACAGCAGGGCTGCAAGAATCAATTATCAATCATATGTCGATGACGTTCTTGGTTATTCATCCATAAAAGTACAGGAACTGCTAAAACACAATTCCTCCAAGGCAACATATTCATGTTTTGTTTGGTCTGAATAACAGTCTAAAATATTCAGTTTGCACTCAGAAAAAGTGAGAAGTCCAGCAAATGTTTACATCTAAGAAGCTGGAATCTGTGAATTTTAAGCACTTATGCTTAAAATGTAAAAAAATGGTTTTCTGTTGTTTAAAAAAAATAAAAACAACAGGGTGTCTGCACGTAAAAGGTATTAAAAGTCAACAAATCAATTTAGCGAAACATAAGGCCATTAAAAATTACTAAAGGTCTTAATTACCATTTGAAAAAGTATGTGAACAGTCTATTTGTCGACGAGTTTGAATGCTAAAATATTATTTGTTTAGATTGTTCAGCCACGTGAAACTCTTCATAGATGAAATGTCATTGACCAGCAGAATCCTGGCTCAGTCTAACAACGTCAGAAAACATGAAACGTCTGGCGTGCTCGCTGACTGACCGCCATCAGTTTATCAACTCTATGTGTTGAACGGACTTTACATAAACTAACAAATGTCACGATACCCTACAATGAGCTTGCTAACCATTACTCTTGTGTTACTGTTACAATATTTGTCAACAGCAGCTTGTGACCAATGACTTGTCACTTCCTGTGTCTCTCAGAAAGCTTCGTTCTGCCATTTTTTTCTCATAATGACAGACAGCTGACATCGCTGCGCTTAATGATACAAACCGAAGCAGAAATGGCGTAATGACGGCAGCTCAGTATCTCTAAAGAAGCTTTAGCCAGTCAGTTTGTGAATAAGAACAAAAAACGTTGCTTCATTTCAAGGCTTTGCATCATGTTACTGTGTGTGTGCATGTGTGTGTGTGTGTGTTACTTAGTCAGCTGCTCCGTGAGAGCAGAGCAGAGCAGAGTGGGTGTGTATTTTTGAGTGCTTATACCTGTTTTATTTGTTTCTTTTTTGTTTGTGTTTTGTCTCTCAGATAACATTTACCTAAGAAAAGGTAAGCGGCTCTAACAGTGCCTCTAACTAACTCTCCTGCCTGGCTCACTAGTGGCTAACATGAAACCAAGGCGTTAGGCCTCAGAGCTGCATGTACACTGTGCTTCCTCCTCCTCCTCTTCCTCTTTCTCTTTTTACCTCGCTACAGGATGTAACCTCACAACTCAATTGTCATGCCTTGCCTCTTTTTGCATGCAAGTCCTTTCTAGCTGAGTCCTGAGTGAGTATCTTAGCAGAGCGATAACACACGCGCACACACACGCACGCTGCTGTTTGGGCCTGCTAAGATCAAGCTGTGCTTGGATGATAAGTAGTGCAAAACACAGCAGCTCTGTTAGAAATGTGGTGCTTTGATAAACAGGCCTTCTCTCATGTGCAGTTAACAAACTGTGTCCTGGGTCAAAAAACAGAACAGTCCAGGACTGAAAAGGTCTGAAGAAGAAGGTCAGACTGCAGAGTCTAACATGTGTTAGATGCATCACTCCTTTAGTGACTAAACTGTCTGCACTGAGGAGCCAAGTTGATCAAAGCAAAAACATATACAAGTCTGTGTTCATTGACTGTGGAGTCTTTGTTGAGATGTCCCAGTCAGGATGTATGTACAGGACTTGGAAAGTTAAATGAAAACTGGCTTCCAAAAAGAAAATTTGATATCTGGTAACTAAGGTCTGCTGCAGAACTGCTTCCCCTCCTTTGTTCTTATCTCGTGTCTCTTTGTGTTCTTCTTTTTTCAACTATGGATGTGAGTGGGCAGATGAATATGTAGACTTCTCTGGCTTGTGATATCGCTGAAAATATATCATACAAAACTGTCAAAGCTACTGAGAAATGTGCTCTCTAACACCAGCGTAGGGTTTTCTAACAGCCACAGAATGATATCAGGGGTGTTCTCAGAACTTGTGGATGTAATAGTGTTTGTTTTTTAGAAATGTACTACAACACTTGGCAAAATAATCTGGCCACAAGGTCTGTTAGATTCTGTTCTGAAGCCGTTGGTCGTTTCACATGCTGTTCTTCAGCAGAGAAAGTTTGCTCACTGAACTGTAGAGGGTCTGCGCATTGTAAGGACTTCAGTTCTATTTCACTTAAAAGTTCTTTTCCTTTGAAACTACAAGTTTGGGGTATTTAAAGTTTTGGATATGTACCAGCAAAAAGATATGCATAAAAAGGAATTTAGCTCCTTATTTGGAAATGGACTGATGTTGACTCTAGTGGTGCCACAGAGCTGTTAAAGGGTCAGTCTACCCATAATACAAAAACTCATGTTTTCACTTGCAGATAAAACTTTCAGCTGAAATAACAGCCCCCATGAAACCCGCTGTCAATGTGTTGTTTAGAGTTGCAAGAGTAATTAGGACACTATGTCTGGAAAGATGCCGTGTGTTCCTGATTAAAATTTGTTTAGAATGTTTTTCACTGCTGTGAGCACCAGAGCAAGCAGACATCCGAAAGGCAGATAACTGGGTACATAAAACCAAAACTATCCCCACA